TACTACACACACACACATATATATATATATATATATATATATATATATATATAATATATTTTCTTAACTTTCCCGAAAATTCTTAATTCTTCTAAAATAGGAAATGGCTATGAGTTAATTATAAAAATAATTTAATTTATATATTCTTAATGTAGTTAATATGATGGTGTAAGATTCTTCTAGTTATATCGCAAATAATAATTTAAAGAATTAATGTTTCATATCATTTTGATTTACAAACAAAGATATGAACGTTCGTTGGGACGTTCGAAGAGCGCTTGTTTGCATCGTCTATTAGAAAGAATAAAGTTAGTTGTTGTTGTCGGCATTCCGCGTATAGAGTAGCCTTACATATGAATACAGTAATGTGAATCCGTAGGCGAAGTATAGATTAAAGATTAAAAAACAAACAAGGTCCCTTCCAGCTCGTGTCTTCATGACTACTAAACACGGAGAATACAATTTGCGATTATAAAGCAACTTTTTAAATACGGCAAATACGAGTTGATATTAATAATCGTATCTTGATAAAGATGGAGAAAAAAGAAAATTGCATGACCAAAGGAAATGCACAAAACATTATTTTTAATAAACAAGAAAATAAATACAGAATTTATTACTAAGCTATGTTAAAAGAATCTGTATTTCTTAATATATTCTTCTTTCTGTAAAATGATGATATCAAAATAATTTCATTAGTTAATAATCTACATGTGTATTTATATGATGCGATAACTCAAAATTATTATACGTTAATCCAAATCTCAGAGCAAATCTAAATGTGTCTCGAGTGAAACACAAACTCATCAACATTGGCCTTAACATTGTGTATAATTCCATCGCACGATACGTTATTATATAATAACAATAAATCTTGCGCCGTGACAGCGGTGACATATAGACTATTTACGTCACGGATATAATGAAGAATAAAGATGTGATATGCATGTGCATGATAGGTGGTTGTGGATTGAGGCTTACTCACGCATTCGAGCAACATTGCGTTTAGGCAGGCAAGGTAATCCTTGCATCCTAAAGGAGCGCTCCGCGTGTCATGATTTATCGGCTAATTGACTTTTCATGAATTTTAATGAACAGTGCCGGACGAGTACTCGAGGTAGCAGTTTGTATTCATCTCGCTAATTTGTGTGCAGAGTGGACACATTGTTCGCATTAAATATATACGCTCTACATGCATTTTTTTCGGATAAAAATTCTTTTAGAACATGCAAATTTAGAACAATCTTAGAACATGTAACATTCTATACAAAATTTGTTGAAATCTTTGTAGCACAAATTTTCAAATCTGGCTTAAAGAAAGATGTGAAATTTCAATAGCTCTATGTAAAATTCAAATTTTGTGAAAGTCTACTTAAAATTGAATTAAAAATAATTCATGATTTATAAAGATATGAACATAATCTTCTTTTGCACATATCTATCTAAAATATCTATCTAAAATTGAGATAAATATATATATTCTTAGTTTATCTTCTCATATTCATAATTAAGAGAAAGTGCACGATACTTGGAACATAAAATTTTTTTACGTGATAAACATTTGCAAATATAAATTTAGCGTTTTAATTAGACATAAATAATTTGCTTGTTTTAAACATGTACATTTCCTCATAAAATACTCCATAAACATTGTATTATCATTTTGATATTGAAGTATATAATCGCGATAATAATATATATATATATATATATATATATATATATTA